ATACTATAATAAGTATCCTAAATTTATAGGTACATGCCCCTTTTATTTAGAGAAAATATCTATCTCCTTTAAAGACAAAATCTGTAACTAAAACATACCTACAAATGGCCCCGTGTCCAGGCATAATGTCACACTTTCCATCATTCAAACAGAAGTCAGGCTGTAGGTCACAGAGACTCTGACAGGGCCGTTCTTCCACACTCAGGTATCCAGGGAAGCATCTGCACTTTGCTTCCCCACTCCAGGGGTTGACTAGACACTCAGAAAATTCATTACAGGCCTGAAACTTGCAAGGGTTGGCTTCATCACCTAAAACATTAAACAGAAAACAATGCAAGAAAAGACAAAGGACAGAAATTGGTGTATACAAAGACCCTCATTAAAGTTCTCCCCCAAAGTAGATGGGACAGCCCCCTTCCAGAACCATTAAAGTACACCATCACCACCAATACCATACAAAAAAAATTCTCATTCATCCTAAGATTGATAAGCTTTTGTCAAATTTTTCTGCAGAAGGATCCAAGATGGCCAAATAGGAACAGCTGCGGAATGCAGTTCCCATAAAGAACAATGCAGAGGAACATAGCACCTAGGAAAACAGGCAGTTATGAGTTCTGCTGCAGGAGACTAAAACGTACCTGCCCAGCAGCTCTGAATGAACAGTGGAGCTCCCAGCTCAGCACTTGAGCTCCTATAAGGGACAGACTGTCTCCTCCAGCAGCTCCCTGACCCCTGTATACCCAAAGAGACACCTCATAAAGGACAGCTCAGGCAGACATCTGATGGGTGCCCTTCTGGGACAAAGATAACAGAAGAAGAAACCAGCAGCAACCCTTACTGTTCTGCAGCTGCCACAGGGATCCCCAGGCAAGCAGGGTCTGGTGTGGACCTCCAGCAGTCCTACAGCAGAGGGGCCAGAAAACTTAGAAACAGAAAGAAATAACTTCATCATGAACAAAAAGGATGTCCACTCAGAGACCCCATCCAAAAGTCACCAACTACAAAGACCACAGGTAGATAAAGCCACAAAGATGGGAAGAAACCAGCACAAAAAGGATGAAAATACCAAAAACCAGAACACCTCTCCTCCTCCAAGGGATCACAACTCTTCACCAGCTATGCAACAAAGCTGGATGGAGAATGAATCTGATGAATTGGCAGAAACAGGCTTCAGAAGGTAGGTAATAACAAACTTCTCAGAGCTAAATGAACACATGCGAACCCAATGCAAAGAAACTAAGAACCTTGAAAAAAGGTTAGACGAAATGCTAATGAGAATAAACAGACTAGAGAAGAATATAAATGACCTGTTGGAGCTGGAAAACACAAGAGAACTTCATGAAGCATACACAAGTTTCAATAGCTGAATCAACAGAACAGAAGAAAGGATATCAGAGATTGAAGATCAACTCAATGAAATAAAATGAGAAGGCAAGATTAGAGAAAAAAGAGTGAAAAGAAATAAACAAAGCCTCCAAGAAATCTGGGATTATGTGAAAAGACCTAATCTACATTTGACAGGTGTACCTGAATGTGATGGAGAGAATGAATCCAAGCTGGAAAACACTCTTCAGGATATTATCCAGGAGAACTTCCCCAGCCTAGCAAGGTAGGCCAATATTCAAGTCCAGGAAATACAGAGACCACCACAAAGATACTCCTCAAGAAGAGCAACCCCAAGGCACATAATCGTCAGATTCACCAGGGTTGAAATGAAGGAAAAAATGCTAAGGGCAGCCAGAGAGGAAGGTTGGGTTACCCACAAAGGGAAGCCCATCAGACTCACAGCGGATCTCTCAGCAGAAACCCTACAAGCCAGAAGAGAGTGGGGGCCAATATTCAACATCCTTAAAGAAAAGAACTTTCAATCTAGAATTTTGTATCCAACCCAACTAAGCTTCATAAGCAAAGGAGAAAGAAAATCGACGGACAAGCACTTGCTGAGAGATTTCATCACCACCAGGCCCCCCTTACAAGAAGAGCTCCTGAAAGAAGCACTAAAGAAGGAAAGGAACAACCAGGACCAGCCACTCCAAAAATGTACCAAATGGTAAATAGCATCAACACAATGAAGAAAATGTGTCAACTAACGGGCAAATCATCCACCTAGCATCAAAATGGCAGGATCAAATTAACACACAACAATATTAACCCTAGATGTAAATGGGTTAAATACCCCAATCAAAAGACACAGACTGGCAAGTTGGATAAAAAGTCAAGACCCATCAGTGTGCTGTATTCAGGAAACACATCTCACGTGCAAGGACACACATAGGCTCAAAATAAAGGGATAAAAGAAGATTTATCAAGCAAATGGGAGAGCAAAAAGAAGCAGGAGTTGCAATCCTAGTCTCTGATAAAATGGACTTAAAACCAACAAAGATGAAAAGAGACAAAAAAAAGTGCATTACATAATGGTAAAGGGATCAATGCAACAAGAAGAGCTAACGATCCTAAATATATACGCATCCAATACCAGTGCACCCAAATACATAAAGCAAGCTCTTAATGACCTACAAAGAGACTTAGACTCTTACATAATAATAGTGGGAGACTTTAACACTCCACTGTCACTATTAGATACATCAATGAGACAGAAAATTAACAAGGATAACTAGGACTTGAACTCAGATCTGGAGCAAGCAAACCTAATACACATCTATAGAACTCTCCACCCCAAATCCACAGAATATACATTCTTCTTAGCACTACATTGCACCTACTCCAAAATTGACCACAAAATTGGAAGTAAGTCATTCCTGAGCAAATGCAAAAGAACGGAAATCATAAAACAGCCTTTCAGACCACAGTACAATCAAGTTAGAACTCAGAATTAAGAAACTAACTCAGAACCACACAACTTCATGGAAACTGAACAACTGGCTCCTGAATGTCAACCGGATAAACAATGAAATGAAGGCAGAAATAAAGATGTTATTTCTTTACATCCAGAAACCAACCAGAACAAAGACACAACATACCAGAATCCCTGGGATTCATTTAAAGCAGTACCTAGAGGGAAATTTACAGCAATAAATGCCCACTTGAGAAGCGAGGAAAGATCTAAAATCAACAACCTTTTGTCAAAATTGAAAGAGCTAGAGGGGCAAGGTCAAAAAAACTCAAAAACTAGCAGAAGACAAGAAATAACTAAGATTAGAGCAGAACTGAAAGAGATAGAGATACAAAAAACCAAAAAAATCAATAAATCCAGGAGCTGGTTTTTTGAAAAGATCAACAAAATAGACAGAGTGCTAGCCAGATTAGTAAAAAAGAAAAGAGAGAAGAATCAAATAGATGCAATAAAAAATGATAAAGGTGACATCACCACCAATTCCACAGAAATACAAACTACAATCAGATATTACTACAAACAACTCTATGTGCATAAACCAGTAAACCTGGAAGAAATGGATAAATTCCTGGACACTTATACCCTCCCAAGACTAAACAAGGAAGAACTCAAAACTCTGAATAGACCAATAACAAGGGCTAAAGTTGAGGCAGCAATTAATAGCCTACCCAACAAAAAAAGCCAAGGTCCAGATGGATTCACAGCCGAATTCTACCAGACATACAAAGAGGAGCTGGTACCACTCCTTCTGAAACTATTCCAAACAATCCAAAAAGAAGGAATCCTTCCCAAATCATTTTATGAGACCAACATCATCCTGATACCAAAACTTGGCAGAGACTCAACAAGAAAAGAAAACTGCAGGCCAATATCCGTGATGAACATAGATGCAAACACCTTCAATAAAATACTGGCAAACCAATTGTAACAGCACATCAGAAAGCTTATCCATCACAATTAAGTAGGCTTCATCCCAGGGATGCAACACTGGTTGAACATAAGCAAGTCTGTAAACGTAATCCACCACATAAACAGAACCAAAGACAAAAACCACATGATTATCTCAATAGATGCAGAGTATTGGAAGTTCCAGTCAGAATAATTAGGCAAGAAAAATAAATAAATAAAGGGTATTCAGTTAGGAAAGGAGGAAGTCAAATTGTCTCTATTTGCAGATGACATGATTGTATATTTAGAAGACTCTATCATCTCAGCCCAAAATCTCCTTAAACTGAGAAGCAACTTCAGCAAAGTCTCAGGACACAAAATCAATGTGCAGAAATCACAAGCATTCCTATACACCAATAACAGAGTTACAGAGAGCCAAATTATGACTAAACTCCCATTCACAATTGCTACAAAGAGAATAAAATACCTAGGAATACAGCTAACAAGGGATGTGAAGGACCTCTTCAAGAACTACAAACCACTGGCAAGGAAATAAGAGAGGACACAAGGAGATGGAGAAACTACAAACCACTGGCAAGGAAATAAGAGAGGACACAAACAGATGGAGAAACATTACATGGTTAGGAAGAATCAATATTGTGAAAATGGCCATACTGCCCAAAGTAATTTATAGATTCAACACTATCCCCATCAAGCTACCTATAACCCTCTTCACAGAACTGGAAAAAACCACCTTAAACTTCATATGGAACCAAAAGAGAGCCCACATAGCCAAGTCAATTCTAAGCAAAAAGAACAAAGCTGGAGGAATCACACTACCTGACTTCTAACAATGCTACAAGGCTACAGTAATCCAAACTGCATGGTACTGGTACCAAAACAGAGACATAGACCAATGGAACAGAACAGAGGCCTCAGAGGCAACACAACATATCTACAACCATCCAATCTTTGACAAACCTCACAAAAACAAGCAATGGGGAGAGAATTCACTATTTAATAAACGGTGTTGGTAAAACTGGCTAGCCATGTGCAGAAGGCAGAAACTGGACCCCTTCCTGACACCTTACACTAACATTAATTCCAGATGGATTAAAGACTTAAACATAAGACCTAATACCATAAAAGCCCTGGAAGAAAACCTAGGCAAAACCATTCAGGACATAGGCATAGGCAAGGACTTCCTGACTAAAACACCAAAAGCATTGGCAACAAAAACCAAAATAGACAAATGGGGCCTAATTAAACTCCAGAGCTTATGTATAGCAAAAGAAACTATCATTAGAGTGGATCGGCAACCAACAGAATAGGAAAAAATTTTTGCAATCTACCCATCTGACAAAGGGCTAACTAATATCCAGAATCAACAAAGAACTAAAACAGATTTACAAGAAAAAAACAAACAAACCCATCCAAAAGTGGGCAAAGGATATGAACAGACACTTTTCAACAGAAGACATCTATGAGGCCAACAAACATATGAAAAAATGCTCATCATCACTGATGATTAGAAAAACGCAAATCAAAACCACATTGAGATACCATC